ACTAGATAATTCCGCACTCAGCTGCAATTCCAGGTTTTCAAACAGAGATGGCGACAAAGAGGCAAAACCTCCGGACCGGAGCTTTAAAAAAAAGCATGTAATCAGGTAATCTGGCTGAGATTGGCATTATTTGTATGCTGTTGTTCCAGCCGCGTTGTCGCAGAAATCGAATTTCCGAATCGCACGTCGCAAACCTAGCCCTTACAAAAAATTAACCATGGTTTTATTGCAGTAAAAGTGTAGTAGGCTAACCATGTTTTTTTTTTTGGCTTATTGATTACCATTTGTATAACCACAGTTTTACTCCAAATACCATGGTTAAAGATTAGTGTAGCCAAACCATAGTTAATTTGTGGTTACCATGGTTTAACTATAGTAATGTTATCGCATGTTGTGGTAAGTAACAGCACTGAAATGTATGAAAAGCAACCAATTAAGTTTTAAACTTTACCGTTCGTTCAAGTTTGCATTTAAACGTGCCCCTTTCGATGATGAACTGTTTTTGCCAATATAGTGAAAGTCAATGGGGTCCAATTTGGCCAGTCCAGTTGAGTCGGATCTTCTGCAGAATGTTTGTCATCATCCACCCTAGTGTTACTCATGAAACTCGAATGATTTTTTTATGGAATATACAGGGGCGTGTTTACGTTATGGGGGGCCCTAAGCAAATCTCCAGGAGGGGGCCCAGCGATCGCGTTTCCTGGCTGTAGAAATCGCGTTCCTTCCTACTCAGGAGAAATTGCGATGGCGATAGAAGTTGTGCTCCTTCTTCCTCGGGAGAAATCGCGGGGCCCCACGCAATTGCGTGCTTTGCGTGATGGATAAGCACGCTACTGGGAATATAAAGAGTTATCAGAATGCGAAAACTGTTCTTTTACTTACAATCAAAATGCAGTCACAGTTTTGTTTAAAGTAGCTACATAGTTAATCATGTTTTGAAGTCCATTTGCTTGTTAAAAAAAATTGTGAAACATATGTTTCACACTTGGATTTGTTTTTATAACCTGTAATTTACAAAGTTGGAAATGTTATTCAAAGACATTTTTACAAAAGAGTTTTTACTTGTTCAAAAGTTTGGGCTCAGTAACAATTTATCTATTTATTTATTATTATTATTTTTTTAAAAGACATCTCTAAGTCTCTTTCATCAAAGCTGCATTTATTTGATCAAATATAAAGTAAAACAGTTTTGTGAAATGTTATTAAAATGTAAAAGAACTGTTTTCTATTTGAATATATTTAAAAATGTAAAACATGCATTTTCTTAATATTTTTGTGTAAAACATGCATTTTTCATATATATTTCACATTATATCTTAAATAAAAGTAAAAGGTCCTTATATCCCTTTTGATCAATGTAATGTAATATTTAGAGATAAATATTACTTACTAATACATTCTTGCTGAATAATAAAAAAAAACACTGACCCCAGAATTTTGAACAATACTGTATTTAATCATAACTTTTGTTGTTGCTCATCCATAAACGTTCCCCTTCTTTAAATTATCATTCACAAATGCTGTCAGTTTTATGTATGACTGCACTACAATTTAGTGGATAAAAAATGTAAATAAAAAACAGACCATGGTGAATGTGGCCTCTGTTTATTTTATTTTTTTTTAAAGAGGAAAGTTTGCATCCCGCCAGCTGATGTTCACACTGATTACAAGCAAATATCTCATTTGACAGTATCAGACTGCATTTCAAATAGTAAGTTGTTTTTATATTGGTTTTTGCGTATGTGCCGACTACAAGTGTGGGCTGAAGGTGAGTTGGATCTCCTTGGGAGAGTGAAGGGGCAGAAAGCCACTGTGTTTATGATTAGCGCCAGCTCTCCGGCTGATTGAATAATTACCGGACTATTGAGGCCACATGGAAAGAAAGAAAGAAAGAAAGACAAAATAGAGGACAAGAGGCAGCCCCTTCTTACCAAGTCAGTCTGCACTGCATCCAAACCGACAAGCAAGACAATATGGGTCTGTGGGAAACCTGCTCTGTCCTTTTCCTTGTGGTAAGTGTATGATTTTGTGACTTAATTTGGGATTTCTCAATATTTTCACGATGCAGGGGATTTATTTGATCACTTGGACGGGTTTAAAAAGACGATGGTGTTTTTTTTTTTTTAAGAAACCCTGTTTTACAGTGATGGTGTAATCAGCTTCACTGCCAAAAAGCTGTCATTGAATGGACTGGATCAGACATTGTCACCCATGGCTTTTGTGTCTATGTCAGAAACACTTGTGGTCAGAATAAGGCAGTGAACGACAGACCTGTGAATTCATTTTATTTGCAATATATGCAATTTATTTAATTACTTTTCCCCCCAGCATTGTAGCTTGTTTTAAGTAATTATTTTGTTTATTTATTTATTTTATTTTATTCCCAGAATGTATGTGGAACATATTAACACATTTAAACCAAATAAATAATTATGCTGTTATGTTGTATGTTTTTATATTATGTCCCAGCATGTACAGTATGTGGTACATAATAGCACTTGTTTAAATCAATTATTTTATTTTTTTATTTTATTTTATCCAAGCATATACATGGTACATATTAACACTTTTTAAAATAATTATTTAATTGCTTTTACATTTTATTTCATGTAATTATTTTATTTTATAACTTGACTTGACTTGACTTGACTTAACTTAACCCAGCATGTACATGGTACATATTAACACTTTTTAAAGACAATTAAATAGTTTACTTCGGTTTAGTTTAGTTTTTGTTTAGTTTGTTTTCCCAGCATGTACATGGTATATATTAACACTTGTGTAAAGAAATGAAATTTTTATTTTATTTAATTTTCTATATTTATTTGTTTAATTTAATTGAAAAGTTAATTTAACTTTATTTTAATGTATTTTATTTTATTTTAATTTCTAACACGGCTATGCCAACTCTGTTACTAACTGGATCACATTTAGCAATATTGCAGGTCAAAAGTATTCTACTTGATTCCAGTTTAAGGTGATTCAGGAAGTAAGACTGGTAAACATCGATTAGATTTAGCATATCTTGGATAAAAACACCAATCCCGAATAACCCCGATAATGAACTGGTTTCAGATTCTGACTGCAGAAGGCTGGCATGACCTGGACAACACTGAGTATGACTGCTGGCCCATAGAAGAACCAAGCGATTACAACATGATTAGCTGTGGCGGTAAGTGCTGCTTTTTAAGAAAATGCATCTAATTAGCTACATTCAGTAGCTTTCATTGTTGTTGCTAATTCCCTAAAAGGACAGTTCATCCAAAAATGATCTATTTTTTTCACTCTCATGTCGATCTAAACCAGTAAGACTTAAAAAAAAAAAAAAATGGTCTAATTCATGAACAAAATGATTTGATTCTTTTTTTACTGAATTGCTGTCAAACCAAAACTGGCCTGAATTATTCAGTTTTGAATCTGAGGGTGAATAAAAAATGGCAACATTTTTGGTGAACTCTCCTTTAAGAATTGAAGACGAGGCCTTAAGGGGGGGCCATATGATGTTGCTAAAAAGAACATTATTTTGTGTATTTGGTGTAATGAAATGTGTTTATGCAGTTTAAGGTTCAAAAAACACATTATTTTCCACATACTGTACATTATTGTTGCTCCTCTATGCCCCGCCTTTCTGAAACGCGTCGATTTTTACAAAGCTCATCGGTCTGAAAAAGCGAGGTGTGCTGTGATTGGCCAACTATCCAGTGCGTTGTGATTGGCCGAACACCTCAAGCGTGTGACGGAAAAGTTACGCCCCTTACCATACTGTGATGCC